GATCGTTCCGGGCTCCGGACTTGCCCATAGCACTAATGCGTGAAAGAAGTCCCTTAAATTGCTTTCTGGACGCGACTGGCAAGGTTCGGTCTTGTGCGTTCAGGGCTTCGTTAAACCGTTGCACCCGGAAGACTTTTGCACGGAGATTTTGGAGGGTCTCCTTACATGTAAAGCATGTAAAGCCTGAAAGTCCTCCTGAGGAGCTTTGCTGGCGGGACCCCAGCATCCGACGCAAAACCCTGTAGCCAATAGAGCTAGAGTGTCTCGCGTGCCAAAAAGCAGTAGTACGTGTTCTCTGCGTGCAAGGTCTGCTGTGATCAAAAGTCTCCCAAGACACTCCCGAGTCGTGCCACGTCCCGAAACTCCCGCAAGTAAAAGTCAATCTCCCAAGCCGGCAACACGGGTATTTTGGGGCAGACCCTGCAGCCTCTACCCAGCAGTCGGACCAGAAAAGCTGTAGGATTGCCGACCTATGCACTCTAATCAACTTACCAGATCAGCTTACCAGCATGATGATACAAGCCCGACATGGCCGTAGCCATTTCGGCTGAAGATCGGACACTGCGTCGGGCTTTGCAGGGAGTACCCACGAAGCAATGTCTCGCTGGTCTGCGTTGGCTTTATCAACATGGCTGTGCCTGGTCCTGAGCCAGACTGTGATGGGCGACTTGAACACTCAGGTGCACCGCAATCTGCGGCATGGCAACCACAGTGCGTTGAGTCCGAATCGCAGTTCGTCTCAGGAAGGCTCAGGTGGCTTGAAAGTCGCACCTAGGGCGAATGAGACTGGCAGGCAAACGCCTCGCTCGCCACGAAATCAGAATTCCATCAAGTTCTGGAGGCTGCGCCTGCGTTGCTGCTCCCGAATGTCTCAGGCCAGGACGCCCCCCACAGTGCGGAAGCCGGGGCAAGTCCGAGCAATGCGACTGCCTTCCGCCCGTCATTCAAGTCCGCAGCTGGTTGGGTCGGCTGCTGGTACTACGGCTGCCACGGCAGCTATCATCCCGAGTTCCACTGCCAGTGCAACCAAGGCTGCGTTCGGTTCAGGAACTGCTGCTATGACTATGGCAGGAAGTGCTGGCATGCACCGGACAGCCGTCGTCGCCGGAGTGGGCGTCGACGTAATCCTCCACCCCCGCCGCAAGCACCAGACAGCCGCCGTCGGCGAGGGAGCCCAGCCCAAGGCAAGATTGTGACCGGCTTCCACCAGACGAGCCCCGATGTGTGCAAGTTGATTGTCAACTCGGCTTTCCGACCAGGCTCAGATGGCCACTGCGGTGGAGCCATCTACTTTGCCTTGTCCCCCCAGGCGACGAAGACAAAGGCCATTGGGAACGACTCCAAGAGCGGCTGCATGATTGAGGTGAAGGTGGATGTGGGACGCGTCAAGTACGAGGGCCCCCGTTGTGGCCACAAGTGGACAAAGCAAGAGTTCCTCCAGACCGGGTATGATTCGATACGCTTCGACCCTGGCGATGGAGACGAGCTGGTCATTTACGACAGTTCGAGGGTGAAGAGCATGAGGATCATTCCGTTCAACAACGCATGGAGGCCGACGTACAATGTTCGATGAGTGCATTTCGTGATACCAGATGTTTTAATTAATTGAAGATCGTTCCGGGCTCCGGACTTGCCC